CACATACACTCCCCACCCGACCCCTGGACCACGTGTAAAAACACCCCTTGATTTTACATAACTACTCTAACAGTGACATGATCAAAAATATGCATTGGAAATACCAATACTAATATGCATTCAGCTGTGTTTTTACTTCAGTTGTACAGATAACATAAAAGAGATTACTTTAAGACCTATTGAGAATGATCTGGCATCTGGAAACTTCCCAAACTACAGGCTTCACACTTGTGAAGTAATTTGCATTTGAGAAGTCTTCAGTATAAGTAAATTCTTGACTCTTCCCCCCGCCTCTTGTTAAGCTGTAAAAATCACTATGTTTGGTAAACTAGCAGTGTAAAAAGAAAGCAAAAACATGTCTCGTCCATGTGAAAATAATTTTGGAATCAAATAGCTGTTTTAATTTGCAAAAACAAGCATCAGGCAAATGAAGGAACCTTAAAAAGGACATTTCTGACAAGTTGTCAAGATTTACATAGATTCTTTTTTTCAATATATGATTATCAGGCACATTAATTACAGTTACCAGAAACACCGTTCCTCTGTTTCAGTCCTGACATCCTAACACTTCTTTCTTTAAGTGTTTGACGGATACTCTAAAACTCCTTTTACTGTGTTTGTAGAGTCATTTCCTGGCACGAAGACAGTTGCAGGCCAAACTGTTTCCTTCTAGCAGTAATTGTGAACCCACCTATGAAGTTACTATAAAAAAACTGTTTTCTTCTTCAGGAAGATGAATCCTTCCTGGGTACTTTTCTCACAGGAGGTGATGGAGGATATATTTATTCTAGCAATCCAGAGACCATGCCTGAGGAAGGTGAGTTTGCTGGCAAGTGCTAAAGAAATGTTTATTTGCTTTGGTAGCTATAGCACTGTAAGACAGATAAATCATGTAGTGAAAGAAGTCCTGCTTTAGATAAACACATTAGCCGAGGCAACCTATATCACCATTGGTACACTACTGCTATGCTGCTTGACCTGACAATTTTTTTTCTGGTCAGAACTCCACATTTTTTCTCTGCCTGTTGGAAATTTGTGGTATTCCCAAACTGCTTAAATCTCTTAACCTTGTTTTTGTTGAAGGTTTCTTGGAGCAGTGGAGGGACCTGCCAGCTGCGACAAAAAGCCCCTACTTTTAAGATGGAGTCTAGGAAAGACGCTTTGTGATGTGATGGCTTGCAATAGCAGGGGAATGCATTTGATTCACAGATATTTGGGTCAGAAGGGTCCTCAACAGATTATCGAGTCTGACCCCCTGCCCTGGGCAGGAAAGAGCACTGGGGTCAGACGACCCCAGCCAGGTGCACGTCCAGCCTTCTCTTAAAGACCCCCCGGGTAGGGGAGAGCACCTCCCTTAGACACCCATTCCAGATTCTGGCAACCCTCACCATAAAGAAGTTGTTCCTGCTGTCTAACCTGAATCTGCTCTCTGTCAGTTTGTGGCCCTTGTTCCTTGTTAGTTCAAGGGGTGCCCTGGTCAACAGCCCATCTCCTATTCCTTGCTGTCTCCCCTGATGAATTTGTAGGTGGCCACAAGATCACCTCTCAGCCTTCTCTTGCAGATGCTGAAGAGATCCAGGGCCCTTAATCTCTCCTCATAGGGCTTTGCCTGCAGGCTCATAACCATATGAGTAGCCCTTCTCTGGACCTCTTGAGTCTATCAACATCCTTGTTGAAGTGTGGTGCCCAAAACTGGATGCAGTACTCCAACTGTAGCCTGACCAGTGCCACAAAGAGGGGTAGTATCACCTCCCTGGACCTCTCCGTCGTGCATCTCCTGATGCGTGATAAAGTGTGGTTAGCCTTGTTGATCACTTCGTCACATTGACAACTCATGTTCATCTTGGTGTCAACAATGACTCCGAGATCCCTTTCCACTGCTGTGCTGCTGAGACGGTCATCCCCCCGCCTGTAAGTGTGCTGGTGATTCCTTCCCCCTAGGTGCAGCATCTGCTCTTGTCTTTGTTGACGTGCATCCTATTCTATTCCGCCCATTTTTCCAACCTGTCCAGATCTGCCTGGATTCACTGCCTACCCTCTGATGTGTCAGCTTTACCCCATAATTTGGTATCATCTGTGAATTTGAACAGGGTGCTCTCCATACCCTCATCTAAGTCACTGATGATGACACTGAACAGCACTGATCCAAGGACTGAGCCTTGTGGGACTCCACTGCCCACATCTTTGCAGATCGATACCGACCCATCCACTACCACTTTTTGTGTGCGACCCTTAAGCCAATTTGCCACCCACCTGACTGGATAATCCTGGAGGTCTTTTCAGTCCTCTTTTCTTTTGTTTCTTCTGAGGCCTTTTGCTACTTGGAGCTTTGGTCCCTTATTTCAACCCTTTCCACCATAATCTGTATTTTTTCAGAAAAACTTTTCCTTTCATATTTCCACTAATGCTGCTGCTCTTTCCCTTGCTGCTCCTCTCCCCTTCCCTCTTACCCTCCCCTGGCCCCTGCAAGAGTAATCCTTGATGTTTGTTTTCCATTTCAGCTGACTAAAACTGTTCCTTCCTAGTGACTGATGCTTCTACCCCTTGTACCTGAGCAAATGCCAGGCTGTCTTCTGTTTCATTTTTCCTGCAAGTAGTCAATTGCTGAACAAACTGACACTTGTTTAGTGTTCAGCCGAAACAAACTTGGAATAGTCAGTGTAATGAGGCTTCATTTATGGTGGCTTTTTTCCTGGCTTTACAGTCAATGGGGTACAGCTCAGACCAGTGTGTTAAATCTCTTTGATATATAACACCACTATGTACTGCTTAAGGCACAATATATTTTTCTGCCCCGAGAACATTTTTTTTCCAAGTATATGAGAGATTGAAGAACTTTATATTCCAATTCTTACCAGAAGCTGAAAGCTTGTTTGGGGAGAAGTCCTGTAGCAGTCTAGTTGCTACCAAATAGATGCTAAATAAATGCATGTGCAGCGATCTGGGTAGTATCATATGATGTACCAAGTGCTTCAGCAGTCATATTCAGATTGAGTGAGTTTGCTACGAGCAGGGTACATCCGAGTAGGGAAACGTATTAAGCTGGCCATTGCAATATCAGGTTAAACAAGTTATTGGCTCTCTAGATAATTAAGGTAAAGAATAGGGGTTTTGCTTTTTTTTGGAAAGTTTTATTCATAAAACTTTCCCATTTCAGCACTATATCTAGGGTGGAATCCTGGTAATCTGAACTGTTGCTTGAAGATGCTTACCGAAGTTAAAATGGCAACAACAAAAATTAAAATTTAGGCAAAATAATGTACCATATTGAATCTTGTGAGTAGCAGAGGGTAACTTGGTGATCTTTATGTTAGGCACTTGGCTGGACAGATTTTAATTTTTGTGATCTCTTTAGTTTTGAATGCTCTAACCTCCATGCCTTCTCACCCTTTTGTTTCTCTGACATAGTTTGGGAAACCTGGCATCCTTTGAAAGATCTCTGACAGTGTCATAAAGGCAGAGATCCTATTCCATGATGTGTAATTGTGATCCTGTTCCATTCTGTTCACATCCCTGCAGATTCATGGCTGCATCTGCTTCTGTAACAGGCTATCACTTTATCCTTAAGACTGTGATTGAAAAGAAAAGGAGGCAGTGAAGAAAATGGGGATCAACCCTCATTTTACATGACCAGTTTTGCAGTGACTTAAGCCTGATCCTATTCCACCTCGCTCAAGTCTCTGTAACTGCCTAATAGGTAGAATGCAAAACTCTAGGACTCTTGGTTTACAGAGAAGATACCTTTTATTAGACCAACTAAGAAATCACAAAAAAAAAATCTTGTTCTGCCGACAAGTTTCTTTGGGTGAATCTGATGCCTTTTATTAGACCAACTTCAATAGTTGGAAATTTTTTTTAGCAAGCTTTCCAGTTTAAAAACCCTTCGACAGGCTGAGGAAGTTCCTGTTCTGCAAGCTTTTGGGCTCACCTGCCATTCCTCAGGCTCAGAGAAAATTTGAAGATGGTAAAAAGTCCCCATAGGTAGAAAATAAACTTCATTTTTATATGTAACATATAGGTAGAATGGGATTTGGGCCAGTGTGTTTTTTCCTTCTTTCCTTAACCACCCATAAGAAGGCATATACACCTCTGCAATACTTTCATAATTATGTGCATCTGCCAGTTGACAGAATGATGAAACCTTTGTTCTGAGGCATGGATTAATAATAGTCTGAGGCTAGACTCTGCCGCTACTTTCATTGTATTTCCTTCTCGATCTGTTCTCTCTACTCCTTTACTTCAGCTCATTTCCTCTCTTCATTCTTCTATGCTGTCTCACAAGTGCTTTCCTGTCTGGCCCGCTGCCCTATTCTTTTAGATTGAAAGTCTGTATCTGATGGCTTTGATCCTGTTGGCAGTTCCTAGTTTCTATTCCGACAGTGGCTTTCTCTTGTAGTAGCAGAAACTGCTTTTGCTCCTGTTGGCTTGCGGTGTATTTTTTGCAGCCGAACTCTTCCTCTGCAGCTCATTTTTGTGTTTGGAAAGTAAGTTATGGTAGCAAAGCTGTCTGCACCTGTTTTTCTAGCTGTTTCCATAGGCCAGCCTAGTCTTTTGAAGACCCTAGATGTCTGTAAAGCAGATGAAAAGGAGGTGGTGTAGCTAGTATTTCATTGCATCGCCAGCTAATGGGAAAATTGTGCATGTATGGGAGAAGAATAAAAACTTAGGGTAGAGCCAGACGTAATCCCATAGATAGCAGTAAGTGTTGCATCTGCATAGTCCTGTTGCCATCCAAGTATAGCAAAAAGTATTGCAGTGTTGACTCTAGCTGTGTTTAAAAGCAGAGAATGAATTCCTGCTTTGGAGCAGCTATTCGCTTTTTGTCCATTAGGAAATTGTGGCTAAAATATCCAAACCCTTTTACAGATTTTTTGCTGCATGTGTTGAAAGTTAGCAACAAAGTCAAGTTTGAGAGTCTGTGAAATGAAAGAGAAGTGGGATTTATTTCCTCTGACTTCTTCCCCCCCGCCAACCTGCTTAAATGCATATGGACAGTCCCTCTTATGCATCTAAAGCCTGACTTGCTTCAACAGTGTTACTATTGAAGCAAAGCAGGCTTTAGATGCATAAAAAATGGATTGTCCAGATGTATTTAAGTGGGGGCGGGCGGGGGTGGGAGAAGACAGGGGAAATAAATCCCACTTCCATTTTTGCTTTAGTATCAACAGTTGTACATCTCTTATCTAAAGTGTTATGTGTTTGTATTCATTAAACAAGTCTTAATGGATTGTGAAACGCAAACAATCGAATGGTATTGTTGTTATTTTCTTCTTAGTAGACTGTCACTCTTCTTTTCCCCTTTTTGCTTTTGTTCAGTTATAACATGGAATCGTATTGTTAGTTTTATTTTTTTAAGCCCCCAAATAATTGGCTAACAAACCCATGCAAGGCATGTAGGGTCATGTTTTATCAAATAAGACCATTTTACTGGGAAGACGTAGTGAAAGTTATTGTGTTTTGGACATCTGTGCAGATGCACAGATTCATTCCATTTGTCTCTTAACCAGCATAGAAAATGGTGCATTATATTCTGCATGTGATTTAAATTTTGGACTGGAACCACAGCTAGGTATTGTACAAAACTGAACAGGATTTACTTGGAAAAAGGCAACACGCAGCTAGATATTGCCGTGTCACATAATACTAATCTATTTTCTTTTCAACTGTAGGTAAATTATACTTCTTTTCAGACGGCGTTCTGTTTTCTCATCCCCACCACGGCAGCATTACCATTTCAAAGAATGACATGAATTCTATTAATTTCTATGATGGGGTGAGTGGTTCACTTATCCGTTTATCAGTACCTATTTTTCTAAATTGTTTTTATCACCTTTACGTAAGTGGATATTATAAAGAAACGGGGGGGTGAGGCAATTTTTCCTGGTGCAGTTTTGTAGCAACCTGCAGAAAAATGTTGTCTTTCAGTAGAGTTGTCATGCAGATGCTATTTGGATTACGCAGGGCAAATTTACTTTTTCTCTACTTCATAGCAGTTTCACTGTCAAAGTAGGACAGCATTTTAATATGTGAACTTAATAGTCAGTAGCTCTGAAGCTTTGTTCCACAATAGAAAGTTGTTTTTCTTTTTTCTTTTACTTAAACATGGTGAATAGTGTTGAAAGAGTACTGAGAATGAAAGCAAGACTTGTTCTACATATTTCTGTTTTTGCAAACCCTCCTTTTAACTTGATTCTTCAGTCAGCAATAGTTTCAAGGCGTAGCTCCAAGAATATGATATTTAGTTGAAGTGCTTTGTTTTGCACAGACCACGGTTAACCTTCAGTCAGATGTTGGTAGTAGCATACCACTTATCACTTAAAAGGTCAGGAGAAGTGTCTTTATCTGCTGGTATAAAACATTGTGTAAGTGACAGTGTGAAGGGGGTAACTAATTCACCTTTTCCAGGCAGAGGAATGTTATGCTGTCTACATGTATTATACGTTTTCTTCTTAATTGCGCTAAAACACCCACAACTTGATTATAGTAGGGGTCGTCTTTTGGCCACTCTTTAACCAAACTACTTTAGACTGTGATGTGATAATAATTTGCCAAATTATTAATTAAGCTTTTGGTTCTGATGCATTGTTTTGTGATTTCTGGGAATTAAGGTGGGTTAAAGATAGCAGTTTTATTGAAAGGTAGGGCCAACTGGAAGACAATTAACTATAACTATCTACCAGTAATTAAGTAATAATAAGGAGATTATTTTGGATGAGCAAAGTTTCGTGTGTGCACTAAAAAGGAAAAGCTCCTATTTTCTTAAGGGTCAAGTATTTTATTAGGTAGTTGTACAGCCATTTCCAAAGAGCATTGTGTAGATAAGAGTCCATAATGTAAAATAAAGGCATGGGCTTCATTTGAGTTGGAAAAACACAACAGTAAAGAAAACCTTACCTTGGCAGCCATTCCTTTTAAACCATATTGACTGGCCCTTTGTAGTTTAAAAAGCTATTTTAACACTGACCTTCCTTCTATTGTTTAAATCAAGACACTCACTTTCTTAAAATTCAGGCTATTTATGGGAACTGGCTGTCTATCTTGAACTGATGCCAGTTTTTTTGTGTAAAGCTAAACCTTGAAGGAAAACTTTATTGTTTAAGTGACTTGGCAAAAAGTGAGGCTGAGCATGCTAAAAATATTGCTAAAAAGTGACAGGAGAATGAGAGGACTCTTATTGTACTTAAGTTAGAAGCTAGTGTAACAGTTAGGGAGGCACCGAGAAATAGGTATTTGTTATAATCTTCAAGTGAACAAATACAAATAAAAGCCGGACCTCAAAATAACGTTTATTTATAACATTCTGAAATGCAGATTTTTTTCCCCACCTTATTTGTCCTCATGGTTCTTTTTAATTAATCATCCTAATGCTGCTGGCCCCACAACAAATTCAGGGTTGCTTTTCTGAATTCTGGATTGAAGCCATTTAATTTCCAGTTATGAGCATGGTTTGGGCATTGTAACTGTTAGCCAATGTTTTCTCTGATAAAATGCTTATTTTCTCACTCTAGTTGGAGGAAGATTTATTATTAATAAAAAGTACAGGGAGATTGAATTGATAATCTGCACACCAAGGTCTACTAGAATGGTAGACCACAAAGGAAGCATGATGGCACCCTTTGTTTTGTTTCACTTACCACCTCGGTAGTCCGAAAATCAGGCGTGTCCAAAAAAATGCTCTCTCAGCCTCAATATCCTTACCACCAGGGGACAGGTATAACTATTCTTGCGTGTTGAGAAAAGTCAGCAAGTTCATCAAGCTCCTGTGCAAATGTAGCTGTCTTTTCAATCACTTGAAACTATATTTCAGAGGCAATTTCATCACTCCAGTTTTCCATTCCTACTTTTGAGAGATGAGTGCCATTTAAACTGTTTCCAGTATCTTTGTGTCCACCATGTTCATTGTAACAATCAGTAATGAATAAGAAAGACTAACTCCTCATCAATTTTGAGAGTTCATAGTTGCACTGTGTCCAGTTCTGGGTGCTGCATTTCAAAAAAGACGTGGAGAGTATTGAAAGAGTCCTTGAGAAGGGCCACAAGAATGATTAAGGAGGACAAACCAGATGAGAAAAGACTAAGGGATCTGGGACTGCTTAGCCTGGGGAAGAGAAGACCAAGGGGGGGAACTTGGTGGCCATCTATAGTATGTCAGGGGTGAATATCAGGAGCTGAGAGGAATAACTGTTCACTAGGGCGCCCCAGGGGAGGACAAGGAGCAATGGCCATAAACTGTCAGAGGATGGTTTCAGGTTGGATGCAAGGAAGAACTTTTTTCCAGTAACGGGGACCAGAATCTGGACTAGACTTCCCGAGGAGGTGGTGTAGTCCCCAACCTTGGAAGTCTTCAAGAGGAGACTGGACAGACACCTTGCTGGGATCATTTGATCTCAGCAGTATTCCTGCCCAGAGCAGGGGGGTTGGACTCCATCTTTCATGGTCCCTTCCGGCCCTTAATTTTTGTGATTCTTTGATATGATTCAAACACACAACAGGTTGGGAACTTTGCCATGATCCAAAAGTGCAAAGCTAAAAGCAAGGTAGCGGTTATTCCCTTTCCCTTTCTAATTCCCAATTCTTGCAGCTGACTTGTTTCCTCATGGGACCCTTGTGTGGTTCCACAAAAAAAATAAAACCATCCCACACTTACTGACACTGGAAAGATTGGGGTGGCAGAGAGACAATGCTCAAGAAGTTGTGCATGTCATGGGACGGGATGGCCTGCAAACCTATTTCCTGGTCTGAACATTTACTACCGTACAGATGCTGGGACAAGGGGAAGAAGGGGGGTTGTTTGTTTTTTGTACTAAAATTAAGATTCAGAAATTAGTCACTTTAAAAGTTCAGTAGTTTTCGGCATCATGGACAGACGTCTTTAAAACACACTCATATTTTCCCTCTTTCAGTAATCTGCATGGCTTTCATAGAGGAGCACTGTGACTGGAGTCTGTTCATGGGGGAAAAAAAAGAACAACAGGGCTGCTTCTACATGGCTGTGCTGAAAAAATTCCCAAATGAACAAGTTCATATTTAAATGTTGGCCAGTCTAAAATGACCCCTGTTGGAGGGATGTATTATTGGTGACCAACAACAATGCTATAGTCTTTTGTCTCCTAAACTAAGCAGTGGCAGTTCTGGAAGGACTCCAGTTCTGATGCTTGGAAGTGCAAGCACGCAACCTCATAGTGTAGTTGCGGAGGTATTTCGGGGCCTGTTTGAGAGGGTGCTGGAAGTCAGTTTCTTAGGGCTCCTATACAAGAGCAGCGAGGCTGCTCCGACGCACTGCAATTACAGCATGTTGGAGCAGGTTCAGTTAATTGAGTCTGCTGGAGCATGCTAATTACCACACTCTAACAGACTCCAGAGTCTTGTCTATCAGCATCCCCACACTAAAAAATGGCAGTGGGGGGCATGTTAAAGTGACCCATTTTTTTCAGCATTGGGACACTGATATATGAGATGCTCCAGGCACTTTAATTAAAGTGGCTCTCAGATCCACTCTAATCAAAGCGTTCCCCACTCCCCTCCTCTGGGAGCACATGTATAAATGCCCTAGTGTACAACACCGACTTCTTGCATAGCTTGTATAGTCCACTTGAGTTTTCTCTTTCCATTTGTAAACAATGGATAAGAACAGTCTTCATTACATGATGCCAAAGCCTAGTTAAAGCTTTATAAAGTGTTTTGAGAATTTTTTCGGTGCAAGTACAATGCGTTTTTTTTAAAATAATAAAATGACACTGGAATTGACCATAGTCCTGCATTACTGAGCTCTAGGGAACAGAGTTCCAGCAGCTGCATGTTCCTGTTGACACCCAGAAATAGAAATCTGGCAGGAAGAATGGTAGATCTATTTAAACTTCAGTTCACTAGGAGAATTCATGAGAGAAACACGCTCCTTGCAACACACTGAGACACCACCCATAAACTTCATACCTGCATTCTTGATGCACAGTTCCTCTTATAGTAGATGAACCCACCTGATTTCCTACCATGCCTTCCCTCTAATCTTTCAATATTGCAGATGTTGCCATTTCTACCAGAGGAATTGTGCCACTGGAGAAGTACAGGTAGAGAAGACATGAAATAGGCTGTGGAGGGTCACGCAAACCTCAGAGTCACTGTTGTACACTTCAGATTGAAGGGTCATGGTTTAATTCATGGGGATGGAGTGGATTTTGACATGTAACTCTCAGGTCTGTGGAAAAATTTCCAGGGGACCGATATTCGGGGCTTTTTTTTTAAAGCTAATGATAAATTCTCTACAGTGGTGTTGAGGGGTTATGTCCTGTGATGGCGTTTTTCAGATGCACTGTCAATGTCTAATATGGGTCCTTTGTTGCATACTTATACTGCAGGAATCACGGGGTTTGTAGAACCTCTTACTGGTATAGCCTTTCTTTTTTTTAAAAAAGGCATATGTAAATGTAACTAAAGTATCTAATTTGGAGAAGCAATGTTAGTTATTCAAGTAATAAACTTTTTTCTTTTCTTTTTTTTTTTCCTTCCAAATTATCAACTGTTAATTCTTAAAACTTCTTTCTCCCTTTCCTTTTAGGACTCTACCAGTGTTGTTGCTGCTCTTTTTATAGACTTCAAAAGTTCCTTGCTGGCCCATCTACCAGTTGAGTTCCATACTCCAAGCAACTTTCTAATGATAGCACTTTTCCCCAAAACAAAGATTTATAAAGCTTTTTACTCGCAGGTAATATAGACATCATTTTTCTTTCGCCAAACATAAAAGTATGTTTAACAATGTTTTCTGAATGTCAAGAGTGAGCTTGGAGGAGGATGCAGTAACAAGTTAAATCAGTGGCTCTCAACCTTCTTAGAGTCGAGGCAATCCTCCAAAAATGAATAGTTGGCATTTTCACTTATTTCTGACTATGGAAAAAATAAAATAGCAAATTTTCTGTTGTGAGCAACTCGGAAAGATCGCAACAAGTCAGCAAGATTTTAATATGGTGGATTCCTATTTGAAATACCTGGGCTTAATCTTGTGAATCACATTTGTGCACCTAACGGTGTTAACTTTGCATGCATCTCAGCAACACCTTGGAAAGGATTTTGAGGCACCCTAGAGTGCCGCAGCATGCTGATTGACAATCATTGTGCTAGATGATCAGCTGACTAGAACAAAGGATTTGGGGTTTAATATGGGCTGAGTTGTGGAGGAAGGCCTCATGATGATTACTGCACTGCTGGTCTGAGGCTATCCTAAAACTGAGAGTATGAGCAGTGCTGGGGTGGCTGCTCAGCACCTCTCTTAGCTATCTACTCTACCCAGTTGCTAGGCTTGAAGGTTGGGAGCAACAGAGCAGAACTTGATTCTTGGGGGCAGCCCTGGGTTTAGTCGGGTGGCAGTATAGACGTGTCTATAATTTGGAACATTAGAAGAGCATCTTAGTTTCATAGTTTCTAGGGTCGGAAGGGACCTGAGCAGATCATCTAGTCCGACCCCCTGCCATGGCAGGAAGAGCACTGGGGTCAAATGACCCCAGTAAGGTGGTCATCCAACCTCCTCTTAAAAACCCCCAGGGTGGGAGCCTGCACCACCTCACTTGGAAGCTGGTTCCAGACTCTAGCCGCCCTGACCGTGAAGTAGCGCCTCCTGATGTCCAACTTAAACCTTCCCTCCGCCAGCTTGTGACCATTGTTCCTGGTCACTCCTTGCGGCGCTCGGGGGAACAGGGACTCCCCCAGCGCCTGCTGATCCCCCCCTAACCAGTTTATAACAGGCCACAAGATCCCCCCTCAGCCTTCTCTTTTGAAGGCTGAACAGGTTCAGGTCCCGCAACCTTTCCTCATAGGACCTACCCTGCTGTCCCTTGATCATACGAGTGGCCCTCCTCTGGACCCTCTCCATGCTGTCCACATCCCTCTTAAAGTGCGGCGCCCAGAACTGGACGCAGTACTCCAGCTGCGGCCTGACCAGTGCTGCATAGAGGGGGAGGATCACCTCCTTGGACATTCTTCTTTGGACATTCACTAAAATTAGCTACTTTGGTTCAATAATATACATTTGATTAGGGCAGATCAAGAGAAGGTGCACACCCCCACCCCCCCTACCACTAATGTAATTGTCTCTGGCTGACCTGGGTGCAGGGGGAGCCCCAGAGCTGCTCTAGCTGCTGCTGTGTGGGGTGCAGTCTTGGCAGGGCACAGCAGTGGCAGTGGGAGGTTTCCTGCACTTGCTTCTTACCAGTCCCTCACCATGGTTCCCACTGGCTGGGAGCTGATGTTGGAGGGAGGAACCTGTATGCCACTGCCACTGTCCCTGGCCAAGTCCACTACCCCCTGTACAGGTGCTCCCTGCAAGCTGCCACTGGAGGCAGGGCAGGAGCAGCTCTCATGTTTCCCTTGGCTTAGGTCCACCAGGGAGGGTGGCAGCAGTTGGGTCACCCTTCCCCTTTTGTATGTCTGGTCCCTGCCCAGGAGCTCTACCCGTGCCTTTCACCCATGCCTTGCCCATGGTGTGAGGGGCAATGTGCCCCTTTAGTAAATCCAGAAACTTAAGGAAAAGGCGGTGGGGGGGAAGGGGGAGTGGGGAAAGAGTCCTAGATAACATGCACAGGCAGATCCTATTCAAGTGTTTGGCTAAAGTGCATAGAGATTAGATGCACTGCATTTCTCTCAACTCTTTTTTTAAGACCTCATTGAAAGATGTGTGGTTTGTCTGGCATGATCTGTCTTATGGTAAATCTGTTAGGTTTTATCCCATTTCTTTCCATATACCGCTGTATCTTATATTTAGAAGTCTTATAGAATAGTTAGGTATCAGACTAATTTCTCTAGGTCACTCTTTTTTACCCTTCTCAAGTACCAGTTGTACTGATTCCCATTTAAGTGGTACAGACCATCTGACTTGATGACTTGTTACTCATCTGTCTCCTGGACATTACGTTTTCATGTGCCAGTTCCTTCTGGGATGGAGATTTTTTTGGTGCTGCTAACTTCAGATGTAGTAATTCCCTTTGACCATCTTGCCTGTACAATCAACTTCCTCACTATTCCTGATATCTAGGGATGTACTCAAATCATGGAGCCCAGGGCCAAATTTTGCAGGCTCCCAATGGCCTTGGGCTCTAATTTTGTGGGTAGATTGCAGCTGTCTCCCCCCAGTCCGGCTTGGCCCTGCTCCCCGCCTGGCCCTGGCCTGCTGCATTGGGGTGGGAGGCAGGAAATAAGCCCTCCCCCAGCTCCATGTGGGTGTGGAGATGGGTCAGCTCGGTTCTCCTGCCCTTGACCCAGCTCTGCTCCCCACCACCACGGCACAGCCACACTGACCTACCCGCTCTGCTCCCCCTGGCCCAGCCCCGCTCTCCCCATCCCCACCCTCTCGGCACCTGCTTAGTGCAGGATGTCACTGTGGCTGTGGGGGGAAAAAACCCAGGGCTGGGCTTCTCCCTGTCTGTCTGGGCTGCAAGGCTGAGAGGTGGTGTGGGGACAGCTTCCATCTCAGCTGCTGCCTGGGTGGGGGGGAACCTTTCATTTTTACACAGAGCCCTGCTTTTCCCTGTTTTTTTCCCGGGCTCCTTTTTTTCATAGATTTCCTTGATTTCTCACAGAAAATGCCTGATTTCACTTTTTCTGCAAAAATTGCGAAATCTTGATTTCAGTACATCCCTATTGGTAACTGATGCAAACTATTTGTTTCGTTTTTTGTCTACCACATAGGTTTCCTTTAATCTTCACCCCAACCTTTGGCTCTAAAATGTGGCTCCCTTGCTGATTCATCTCTTCTTTTTTTCTGTTTGGAGCAGGATTTTTGCCTAGTCTTAAAATTTCTTGAAGTCGTTTTTCATTCCATTTGATCAGGGCCTCTTTTCTACAGCCTTTTTCCTTAACTTATCCAAATAACGTAGGATGTCATTAATTCCTAAATTGTCAAAAATTTGCATTGTTGTGTGCCATTGCGAAGAAAGAATCTGTTGCCTTTGAGAGTTTCTTATGAATCGTTAGCAAGTTATAGCCATAACATCACTTGTCCACTCTCTTGAAAGCCACATTAACTGGTATAATTTAGCAGCATTAAGAATGCAAAGGAGTTAGCAGGTAATGGCTAAAGCTGTCTTCATCCCTTGGTGCTTGTGTGACTGGCTTTAAAATCTCACATTTGGGAGCAGCAGCTTGCAGTGCTTTTTCATTTCATTCAGTTGCCTGGAAGATTGAACTCTCAATTTCAATTACAGGTAAACATTTGTCCACTCTATCTTTCGTACTTTCAGTTAGATGCAATTTACTGTCCGAAAGCAACGTTGAAACAGTCTCTGGCGTTCGGCATACGGCCTGCCCTTTCTTTTTTGCTTTGTCTCTGTCCCAGCCTGCCAGGAAATCTCAGCTGGGCATTGGAAATGCCTCTTGCAAGCTGTCTATAGATGCATTTACTGTAAAATTTCTCTGTGGGGATTGCCAAATAAACATCAATGCTCCAAACCAAGTCTCTCATTTTGTCTTCTCTGTTAAGCTAAGATGTTTTCTGCCAGCAGTGTAGGAGTATGTGACTCTAGTAGTTGTGTTTCTAAATTGAGAGGTAGAACCAGGTGGTGGTTTTGAGAGCTTTGAGGTGCCATCTTTCCTGATTTATTTTATTTAGTTTTTCATTCTTTCCTCTGTCCTGAGTATGCAGAGCCCCACCAGATTTTGGAACATGAACATGGAATTGCATACTATCTTTTTGTACTACAAATCACTAGGTCAGCTTCATGACGAACTGATTTAATCAAGGCTAATTCAGACAACTTTGTTCTGGGAATACTTACCCAATTATAACTGAAAAGAGAAAATATCCTTATTTTCTTAACTAATTTTTTTTTTTTACGGTAGATCAGCAGAAGTTCTTGTGATTCTACGTTTTGGTCTCCAAGGTCATTGCTTCTCTTTGTGAATATTTATAAATAGGGTGCTGGGGCCACTTTCCAAAAGAGCTAGTTGTTAATACATCTTTACTATTGAACAAAAATGACTTAAAGACACTTATATTGTTAAATGTGTAACATTTCATATTCAACTAATTAATCTCTTTTTTTTCTGGTATTTGTGCAGGTTTTCTCCTCCTGGCAACAAAGGACAAACTCAGGATTATCTTTAAGAGTTGTCCAGGAAGAATTCTTATCGGTGGAACAGAAGAGATTGTAAGTTGATACTATTCAACTTCATGTATAATTGCACACAAGTATGATTCTGTTGGTTTTCTGTTCAGCGTCTTGGACACTGTAGAATATAAATATGGATATGGGATTTTAAGAACAAGAATGGTGAAACTTTAGATTAAAAAATGATAACAAATAATTGTTTTCTTTAACTTTACGCTATTTTTAAACCAGGAGTTTCTACATAGATATGCAGATTAAAAATAAAGGAAAAGGCAAGGATTTACTTTGAGCTGAATTAAATGATTAAATTAATGTATGTCCTTGTTTTAGATATTCCAAGATGCAGAAGCTATTTAATGCATTGTCCTATCCTGCTGGGGAAAGAGGAAGCCAGCTAAAAATATCTGCTAACCTCCCAGAGCTAGAGCAGTGAGTATTTGGCCTTTGTATTTGAATTTTCAAAAGATCATGTATTTCCAAAAAAACCCAACCAAACAAACAAAAAGCACCCCAACAAAATAAGGTATTTTGATATCTGAAGTATAATATAAGATCTCTTTTTAGTCTAAATCCTTTTTACTAGTTAGTACCTCTTAAAGTAAGAAATATTTTATATAAAATGTGTTCATTTCTTTTCTGAGACATCTCTTCGGCCTTCAATAAAGTTTAATTGTAGCTCTTTGAAATAAATGGATTCATGTTTTTGTTATTTATAAGGTAAAACTTTGCTTTTGAAAGGTTTCTGCAACATTTTGGAATCAGCAGTACAAGTTGTGAGCCAGTAATGAGAGCACACCTTCCTACTTTACTGCAAGAGTCGGAAATCATTCCTGTAAGCAAAGCAGAAAATGATAAGGTAAGACAGCAAACAAAACACAAGTTTTTTGTAGATATGAGTGGTTTTACAAAATGCTTGATGTGAACAAAAAAAAAAAAAAAAGGCTTTCCACTTGCTTTGTTAGCCATGTAATTCAGTCATTGTGCTTCATTACCTTTTAAAATCTGGTTTATTAGATTTTCTTGTTGGTACACAGCATGTAGTCCTTTCATGTGTGCTAAGTTTTGTGATTTTTTTTTTTTTAAACCTTCCTCTTTTTCATACAAATTGCTCACTCATAACTGAGAATCGAAAGACAACAGTGGTAATATATCTTCAAGTAAACTGATTTATATTTTGGAAAGGGATGCATCAACAATATTAGTCTTTCTTATTTACTGGGACTTTGAAAAAATATATATTGCGTTCTGCACACTTCATTTTTTAAACTTAAACAAATATTGGTTGCTTAAATTTGCTGCTGTGTATAAATAAAATGCCTCTACAGAGAGAGTTAAGAGTAATAACAGATTTAAAACTCAAATGTTTTGAACACCTCTCACAAAGAGGATATGTTTCATGATTTTTTTCCAAGTATTTTCAGCCTGTCATAATAAGGATACCAGAGGAAGCAGGAACATAGCCATCTTCTGAACTGTAACCTTCCAGTTTTTCATATTTTATGGATCCTGTGTTGTAGATGCCTAATATTGGCAAGTAACACTGCTTATACATTATTTTAAAGAGTACAGGTTTGGGGACTTTTTTGTATATGTCCATGTTTCCATAACATGTTCGTCAGATGTAGTTAAGTGATTGAAAACTTGCTACCTTTTTAACTGTTCAGTTTTTCTGGGTGTTAAAGCCTCTGACTGAACTCCTCTGGGTCATGGTGAGCCCCTCCAGCTTCCTGCGTCCCAGTAATCCAGCCCATCAGTATATTGAAAACCACGGTCTCAGTGATGCGGTCATCAGCCTGCCAACAAGGGGCTCTCAGCACCGCACCTGAAGTTGCGCAGTGCTGCTTAGCATGGTTGTCAGCCAGGCTTTGCCATGTAGCTGGCAGGAGGTTGTATGGCACGGCAGCCCTGCCACACATTCAGTTTAAAGCACGATGCACTCCAGCCACGATGTTCTGCATATTCTATGGAATGTTTTTCTGCCATTAACTTGGGGCAGGATTACTATTTAGCACTCAGTTTAACAGGATCATTGTGTCATAAGTGTAATGTCTTCCTGAGCCTTCTGTCAAAGACTTGCTGTGCAGGAGTACCAGACAGCTGATACATTTCACTGCCACTTGAAACTTCCCCTTGTTCAGTCATGTTACCATCATAGGAAATGAGATCCTCATGAGGTCATGTAGTCCAGCCCCCTGCTCAAGGCAGGATCATCCCTGGCTAAACTGTCCCAGTCAAGTGTCTTTCTAACCTGCTGTTAAACTTCCAAGAGTAGAAATTGCCTGAGGTTAGCCTGTTTGAATGCTCAACCACCCCCATAGTCAGAAAGTTCTTCCTGATCTCCAACCTAAGTTTCCCCTGCTGAAGCTTGAGGCCACTGTTCCTAGTTCTCTCCCCTACAGCCACAGAGAAAAATCTATCTTCATCCTCTCTGTTAATCACCCTTCAGGTATTTGAAGACTTTTCTTTTTATCAAACACAAACTTCCTCCTTCTCTTCTCCAGACTAAATAACCTAGTTCTTTCAGCCTTTCCTCATAAGTCTTGCTTCCCAGGCCTCTAATCACTTGTTGTTTTGCACTGGACTCTTTCCAATCAGTTCACATCCTTCTTGAAGTGTGGGGCCCCGAACTGGACAATAGTACTCCAACTTGAGACCTCACCGGTGCTAAATAGAGGGGAAGAATTACTTCCCTTGATTTGCAGGTGACTCACTTGCTAACACAACCCAATATACTCTTGGCTTTTTTGCAGTAAGAGCACATTGTTGGCTTTTATTCAGTGTATGGTCTACTGTAACCCCCTAGCCAGCCATTCCCCAGTTTGTATTTGTGCAAGCAATTATTCCATCCCAAATGTAGGATTTTGCACTTATCCTTGTTGAACCTCATCTGGTTGATCTGTGGACCACTTTTCCAGACTGTCCAGGTCATTCTGGATCCTAGCCCTGTCCTTTGGAATATCTGCACCTCCAGCCAACTTGGTGGTGTTCGCAGATTTGCTAAGCATCGCTCAGTCCCATCAGCCAAATCGTTAACGAAGATGTTGCATGATTATTGGGCTCAGGGCAGCCCCCTGGAGAACTCTCACTTAATACCTCCTCCCAATTGAATCCCAAGTCATTAATGACTGCTCCTTGAGCATGATGATCCAACCAGTAAAGTACGTTTTGTCTAATCTGTATTTCCTTAGCTTTGTAATGAAAATGTCAGAAAGAGTGTCAAAAGTCTTGCTAAAGTTAAGGTGTATTGCTTCTACTGCTCTCCCCCCATCCACACAACCTGTCACCTTACAGAAGGAAATCAGCTTAGTCAAGCATGACTTGCTCTTGAAGAATTTGTGCTGGCTGTTCCTGATCACCTTGTTTTCCTCTAGTACTTCACGATAGATTCCTCAAAGACCTGCTTTGTGATCTTTCCAGGTATCAAAGTCAAGCTGACTGGTCTCTTAATTCCCTGGGTGGGCACTGCATTTCCCCTTTCCTAGTTATCTGGGACCTCACCTGATCTCCACCAATCCTCAAAGAGGCTAGCCAAAGGCTCTGAAATGACCTCAGCCAATTTCTTCAGTACCCTAGGGTGCATCCTGTCCAGGCCTGCCAACTTGAAAGCATGTAGCTTCTGTAAACCTTGGCTTTTGTACTTTTAACACACATTTTCCTGCCACATTTAGCAAAGCTTACCTATGTAGTATGTTCTGTTTGGGTATGTAGCTAACATCTTGTATTCAGATCCATTTCAGTGCATTTATTACATTATTTTGAATAGGTGATCAGTCAATCTACATTTTATTTACAATGAATAATTATGTACATGATATATCTAGATTGCATAATATATTCTATATATGTATCCATTGTTCTCTCCTTTTTTGTTTTTTCTCCCTTTCTGCATTTGGTTGCTTGTTTTGTTCTATATTATTTCATCTTCAAGGTTCTAGGAACCAGGGATCTTGTCTTAACTGCTTGGGACATGTCTAGTTTGCTTTTTAGGCACAAAAGAAAAATAATAAATGTAATTTTTCCTTCAACTTTAGGTGATTGTGACCATCTTAACAGGCCTTCCAGGATGTCGTTGCAGTGATCTCTGTTCTTTTCTGGTTACTTTTAACAAGGAGTGTGGAAGGTTGGTGTAGTTTTTAAATGATTTAGAGCAGCACTCATTAAATGTAATGAATGATACATTTCTATTCATTGTGCTGAACTGTTACTACAGTATTCCCTGCTTATCTTCTCTGTGTTCCCAATGTTGACTTTTCCTAGAAGGATCCTGTGATGAGAACTGGAATGTTACGGATATCATAGTACTAAATTATTTAAAACTGTCACTTGCAATTCCTGGCTTTTTTTAATAGTGTGACTGCCATATGCCCATTTAGATTAAACCATTTTAGAGCCCAAACCTATCTGTTGGAGTGGTAGTATTTCCAGAGGGGCCAGATGGACCGTTGTATGTTTTGGTAGGCTGAAAACGATTGGCATTCTCAAAACGTTAAGGGACAGGTGGAGAGATTCCTTTTTTGGTTCCTCTATATATGATCTTACAAGCAGGAACAAAAATTGTAAAAGAAGAATTCCTGCAAGTCTATGTAAGTCTTCATTTTAACGTGTAGAATATGTTTTTAAAAATAATTTCTTCTGCCTTTTAACAGACCAGAAACTGGCAATAGAACAGAATCATTTAAAGATCTTTTGTTTTTTGAATGCTGACTTTTTTGGCTCTATACAAAGTACTCAAAACCCCACCCTATTCTTTTCCACTGAAGTTCTTATTCTGAATAATTAGGATTTAATCTTAGTAGTAAAATCTGTGCGTATGTTGCCAAGGCATAACTTGAATGGAAATCTTTATCCTGTTTTAGGAGTTGGCATCACTAGGTTTTTAGGTAATTTTCTGTTCTGAATTGCACACAGGATGCTGAGGGGGTTTCATGCGCGTTTTGGAAGCTGATGGTGAGGGGTTTGGGGTTTTTTTTGTATTGTGAACATTCAAAATGATTTCAAGGTCTTCTGCATAAACCCTTCATGAAGTATGTTTTATAAGTAACTGTACTGGTTGAAATTTCAGTTACATTGTAACAATGAAATAGTCATATCCAGGGTGACCCAACTAAGGTCTCAAATAATATGCCTAAACCAAACTTTATTACTCCATCAACATGTGGTTTTGATTAGTCCATCTCCTATTGTTTCATATCAAAGGAGTCATAGGTGGAAATTCAAAAAATAGTTGACTGATGTTGAAAAAGCATGAGAAGCCTGAGAGCTCCCATTGCCTGTAGCACAGTAGATGTAATTTCTTTGTACTGTCATAGATTTATTTTTGATTAGCCATTGATTCACAATGAAAAGAACAGAAATAATTTAGTATACAGAGAAAACAGAATTAATTTGATTTCTCACTTTGTTGTTTTAGGTGGATCATTTATCGGCAAACTTTGGACAGCCCTGAGTGCTTCAGTGCAGCCCACTTCCAGCGTTACCTCTCCAGTGTCCTTGAGTCCCAGCAGAACCGCAGTGCCCGTCAGGCTGCTTATGCTAGAAAGAAAATGAGGCTGTTGGTGGTCTTACAAGGGTAAGTACCATATTGAATTATTCCTGTTTTTTTGTTTGTAGGTGTTTAAGACCGTGTTTGAAATGTTAAGATTCATATGCTGCAGAGTATTTTGCAGCTGATTCTGTTCTTTGTATTTCTGAAATTCAGTTATCTTGTACTGTATTTATATGTTGTAATTTCTCTTGCCTCCATTTGCAAAATGAGTCTTTCATCATGCTCTGGAAAGTCGGGTTTGGTTTTAGTCTCACCCTTTTCAATTAGTTGTTATAGATATGTGGGACCCTCCATTAGAAGAGTCCCTTATCTCTGATGCTTTTTTCATCCTGGGTGCTGTTAATGGTATTTTCTAACACAGCTCAGTTTTTAAGTGGTTATGAAAGAGACCCTTGTCTTCGAAATGCTGGCAAAAACAAGTACTGGTATCTTGCCCCTTCCA